ACCTTGTGAACCTGCCTGGCCTCCCTGTCTCGGGGCTCAGGGCATCATGGGAAATTCTGCCCTCTTTGGGCAGAAGGATGTTTTGACAGGTTGCTGGTTCCTTTGCTGGTTATTTTGGTGGCTGTAGCTCTAGCTCTGTTTGTGTGTGTTCTGTGGCTCTCCATGGTACATTCCACCTTGTCCCCAGGCCGTCTTTTCCCTCCACAGTAACAGAAACACTCCTAGGAAACTGAGGACAAATACTGGTTACTCCAGAGGACATTTTTAGCAATAAAATGGTCACGTATATTTAATCAGATGTGTTTAAGAATTCAACTACAAGGGCTAGCCATGCAGAAAACAACAACAACCCAGAAAACGTGATCAATTGGACTTCACTGAAATAAAATATCTGTTCGTCAAAAAACACCATTGGGAACCACCATGAGATGGCACTCACTTATTGGAATGGTAACAAACAAAAACAATACAATGTAGGGATGAGGATGTGGAATCGTGGAATCGGGCAGAGCTCACATGCACTGCTAGGGGGAATGCAAAATGGTCCAGTCACTTTGGAAATCACTGGGTAGTTTATAAGAGCTGGGCACTTTAACATCAAAGTGTACATTAAAATATCTACTTACCATGGTGCTCAGGAGTCCTGCTCCTGAGTATTTATCCAAGAGAAATGAGACATTCTGTTCACACAAAAAGTGGTCCATAAGTGTTTATAGCTGCTGTCTGTATTGCTAAAATTTAGAAGTGAATCAATTGGATTAGCTGGTATAATTCATTCATTTGATGGAAGACTGCTTGACAAAAAAAGAAAGAAAAAGTATGGATATACTCAACTTGGATGTAGCTCACAGATAGTATTTTGAGTGAAAGGAGCCGGAAACAGTACAAGCAGGGTAATTCTATTTATATGAAGGTCTAGAACAGGCGAAGCTGGTCTGTGGTGAGGGAAATCAGAACCGTGGTGACCTGTGAGGATTTATCGACTGGGGGAGGGCACAAGGGAACCTTCCACAGCAGCAAATGTTCTGTTTCGATAGAGCTGCTGCTGACCCAGATGTAAACATTCAATTAACTGGGGTGCATAAGATGTGTGCACAATATACCCTATGCATGTGATCTTCCAGTAAAAAATTTTGTACAATCCGTGACAAATTGATTTCCCACTGTAACCACCTCCACGGGAAGGATCCCTTGATAGTTTAACTCTCCCTACCCTAGTAGCCCCAGTAATGACTTGCTCTGTTTTTTAACTCCCAAGTTTGCTGTTTGAATCAAAAACCTGCCGTGGAGGGCGGGAAGATAGCTCAGTGGTAGTGTGTGCTTAGCGTGCACAAGGTCCTGGGTCAATCCCCAGCATCTCTGTCAAGATAAATAAGAGCCTAATTACCTGCCCCCACCCAATAAGTAAATACATAAAATAATTGGAAGGGGAGGGTAGAGCTCAGTGGTAGAGTGAGTGCTTAGCATGCACAAGGTTATGGGTTCAATCCCCAGTACCTCCATTAAAAATAGATAAATAAATAAATAAAGGCTGTTACCCTGGTGCAGATCCTAATTACCCCCCCCATCAAAAAATAAATAAGCCTAAGGGGGAGGGTATAGCTCAGTGGTAGAGCGCATGCCTACTATGCACAAGGCGCTGGGGTCAATCCCCAGTACCTCTATTAAAAAAATAAACCTAATTACTATTACCCCCAAATAAATTAACCTAATTGCCTCCCCTCCCAAAAAAATCCCCTGCAATTGTTTTCAGCCTTGAGTGCATCCTGGATGCGGCCGACACCCGTTACAGCTCACCTGTCCTAACAGGTTCATGTCTTGCATGCGGTTGAAGTGTGTTACATGTTACTGATACTATCTCCCCCTCCCTAGGTCTCTGTTGACTTCGCCAGGTGCCTGGAGGCACCACCAATCTGGGGCCAATTAGAGATGTTATCTTGTAGCTCAAGCATCTTTTTGGGGGGGTTATTTAGTTACCACTCACGATGGCTGTGTGGCAGAGAAATAGAATTCATATCTGACTCTGGGCAAAGTTCTTGGGCATTGCACACACAGCCACTAATGAGTTCGTTAAGTGTTGGATAATTAAGTAATTGGTGTTTTCCATGCTTTCTATTATGCCAGAACCTGGTAGGTTGTTATGTAAGTGTTTAATAAGAGTGTTGAATGATATTTGGGGAAATCGGTTGGAGTGTTAGGATGGAGTTGGTGTACATTATTTTCCCCGCTTGAAATGGTGTATCCTCAATTTCCTATTTAATGCTTTTCTGGGGGAATGAATTAAATTTAGATTATGAGATATCTGTTTAAAGAGGTATGTATTACATCCACACTATTTTGCACGTACAATCTGTAGAGACGTGTACGTACAAAGAATAGGTAACTGGGCCAAATTCAACCAAACAGTACTTACCCAATTTCTTTCTACTTTTAAAATGTGCTGAGCACATGCCACTAGTGCCTATAATGCTGGCCTAGGTCGTATAGAAAGACCGGAACCATCTTAAACCTCCTTGGTGTGCATAGGGCCTTAAGGGGCTCCCAGACCTGGTCCCTACTAGGCTGTGCCCTCCATGAGGGAGCCAGCTTTGTCCTGTTCACCACTATACGCCCGGAGCATGGCCTCAGGCCTGGCACATAGTAGGTACTCAACATTTACAGAATGAATGAATTGGACTCCAGCTACAGAGCTGTCTCCTTATAAAAGGCTGTTACCCTGGTGCAGATCCTGCTTCTGCTACTTCTGCTACCTACCAACTGTGTGACTTTGGGCGGGTGCTGCCAGATGTCCCCTCTGGCAACAATGGCTCTGTTACACCTCACCCAAAGGCCACTGATAAGAGCAGAAGAAAAAGCACCTGGGCGGCCACTGCCTGGAGCCCAGCCCCTACCTATCTCTCCCTTTCTCCCTGCCCCATCCACTCCTATTACTGGGACACCCCGCTTGCTCTTTTGAAGGAGCCAGGCTGGGGAGGGAGGGCTGCGGCTGGCCTTGGATTGGGCTTGGGCCTGGGTTCAAGCTCAGAGTGATGGGATGAGGGGGAGGCAGGGTAAGGACTCAGCTTTGTCTTCGAGTGACAGATTAGTGTTTCTAGGCCTGTGGGACCCTCTCTTCCATCTGCTTTTTGGGAGTCAACCTTATTGAGGTGTTCATTTACATACAATAGACTGCATCCATCAAAGCAGATGATGGGGAAAAAGTTAAAAATTTTTAAAAAATTTTTAAGTAAAAAAAACCCAAAAAACCCCAAAAACAAAAAGGAAAAAAGCAGACAGGATGACTTTTGACAGATACGTAGACTTGTGAAAAACCACTACCGCAATCAAAATACACAAGTCATTCTCTCTCTTCTAGAATTTCACTTTTGTGGAATCATATAGTAATGTAGTTTTTTTTTTTTCCCCTTTCTTTTGGTAGGGAAAGGTAATTAGGTTTGTTTATTTATTTTAAAGTGTTTTTAATGGAGGTACTGGGGATTGAACCCAGGACATCATGTATGCTAAGCATGGACTCTACAACTGAGCTATACCCTCCCTCACAGTGTATAGCTTTTTGTGTCAGCTTTTACTCAGCATAATGCTTTTGAGACTTAGTCATGTTTTTACATGTATCAGCAGTTCATTCCTCCCCCTCCCCCCTTAATCTCTGGGGAGAATTCCCCGGTCTGGATGTGCAAGACATACAGTTCATGTCATGTGTTAATGGACCTTGGGTGGTTTCCAGTTTGGAGGTATCGTGCATAAAGGTGCATCTGTCAACATGTCTTTGCACGCCATCCACTTTTCACAACAAATATTTTACAATGTCTGCAAAATATTTACTACTTGGTAAGCGCATCAGCCCATGCAACAGCCTATGGGACATGGAGCCCCTTTCCATCCCACTGTGCCTAGTGTTAACCCCTTGGCTGCTGGGTCAGGGGGAGGATCAGGAGGTCCCCAAGGAGAGCCAGGAGGGTACTAACAGGGGACTCCTGGTAGTGACCATTACCAACGGATTAATAACTGTAATTTAATATTTTGGTGTTTAGACTACAAGCGTGGCCACACCAGTGCATGTGCTGGCTTGAATGTCAGCTCTGGGAAAGTCCTCTTGACTCTCTCAAAATGAAGTTCATGGGTAATATAACCCACTTGCACATGATATTAAAAATTGTCCCTTATTGTCCGAACTGAAAGAAAAAGGAGAAATAAAAGGATAGGAATTTATAATACGCATTTCAAAATGCAGATGTGTGAGGCCACCTACCCTGAACCCAAGGAGGCAGCCAAACATTTACACCTCTAGCGCTGGCAGCTCTGGGCAAAGCGGTAAACACGCTGTGGGAGGAGGTGTCGGATTACCAAGAACCAGGCGGATCGAAGTTTTCTGAAAACTGTTGACAATCCTGGGCCAAGGTTTGAACAAAACACAGTACAAGCATCCCTCGTTTTACATGGTAGTTGCACTTCCTAGAAAATTGAGAACCTATGAAAACCTTACAAAAAGGACTTTGTGTTTACACGAGGAGAGAGTTAAGTTCTGGGCTCAGATCATTCTTAACCAGGTTTTTCCAACTAAGGCTAAAATTTCGCTAGTTTGCACTAGTTACGGATGTGCTGGTTAAAATATTGAAATACTTCTGGCTGGTTAATTGAACAAGAGTCATTTTAAAATGGTGAAAGTCAATAATACTTATTGTAACAAACTAATTAGCTCAAGTTAATTGTGCTGGGTTTCCTGTCATCTCATTACTTAGTTGATAATATTGAATATACAAAACTGTCAGTCAATATTATAAGGGCTGGAAAAGTTTTAACATAATCGCTGTTAGTTCAGGAACAGCAGAGAGAAGAAAACACCAAAACACTGTGGTTGATGCCAAGAGAAATTTTTTATCTATTTAGTCTCAAGTCCCTAATGATTTTCAATTTAATAGGAAGTTGCCAGAAGTATTTGATGTGGTTCCCTTATGAAATCACAGCTAAGACAAGGTTATTTTAAATAAATATATATACTATATATAGATAATGTTATTTATGTATATACATATACAGCTGTTTCAATTAAGAAATCACACCAACAATTTCTAAATGAAACAAAACCATTACAATAATTGAAGAATGATTTGAGGGGGTTAGGGGCATAGGTCAGTGGCAGAGCGCATGCTTAGCATGCACGAGGCCCTGGGTTCAATCCCCAGTACCTCCATTAAAGGAAAAAAAAGAATGATTTGAGCTTCAAAGTATGTTCTTGGCAACAACTTAAATATGTATAGATAGATAATTTTGATTATTTTGAGAATTTAAAAATATTTTTAAAGTGATGCATACATTGATAGGAATTTATTTATATTACCATATCAGTGGGAAAGTATTTTGAACATCACTCATCCTTCATGAATATTCAATGGGACATTTTAAAACTGTACGTGACAAGGGACACTGCTTCATTGTGGAGGTGCCCTGTATGTATTGTAAGACATCTCCATCCCTGGGCCATGCATTCTGAGAGCACTGTCTGATCACAGTGATAACCCAAATCATCTCCATGTTTCCAGAATGCTCCCTGGGAACCTAACAGACTGCAAGCCATTGGCAGGTTCAGTGGTTAAGAACAGAGTCTGTGTTATAGGAAGTCAGGATTGAATGTCTGAGCCTCAGTGGGAGGAAGTGGCAGCGCTGGGATTTGAACCCAGGCCTCTCCCACTTCAGAGCCTGTGGTCTCAAAGCCAGGTGCATAGACCCAAGGGCTGTGTGCCAGAAGTCATTGAGATGAGGCAGCTAAATGAAAACCTCTCTATTTCTTTTCATTTTAAAATGGAATAATTTAACCCTTATTACTAATATACAGAAAGAGTAGTACCTGGATATAGTTTATAAATAAATACACATATTGGAGGTACATGCCCAAACAATATTTTCTCTTAGGTGCAAGATTACAAGAGAAAGGCCATCGCTTTACCTGCTAAGTGGTTTGGTTTCCGAAAGGCCGTCTACCATGACTAGGCAGGGGCATAGTGGACAACTTCAGTGCAGGTTCTAGACTGGCAGCCTGGGTTCAAGTCCCTGCTCTGACACTCTCCAAGCTGTCTGACCTTGGACTGGTGACTTTACCATCCTGGCCTCAGTTTCCCTATCTGTCAAATGAAAATAACAGCAGCTCTCACCTCGGAGGGTCCAGGCGAGGGATGTCAGTTACACCATGTGAAACACTGAGACGATGCGTGATACACAGTAAGTGCACAGTAAGTGTGAGCTAGGGTTAGCGTTTAGCCCACCTTGTGAGTGGGCCAACAGGTGCAGAGACCTCAAATAATGAGGTACAACAGTCAAATGGAGTGGGGCTGGGATCCAGAATCTGATACTTAACCACATTGGCATCTCAGAGATTTGAGCTTGTTTCCTTTTCTGCAGGTGGGGTTAAGAGCAGCATGCACCTCACAGGGCTCTCCCAGGAGGGAAGGAGGTTCTCTGAACGAAGGGAAGATAGTCATCCTGTCTGGCCAGGCGCAGGAGACTAGAGAGAAGACCAGAGGCTCAAGAGACTGCGAAAGCCGTAGAGCAGTGGTCCCGGGTAACCGTCACCTGGGCCTCAAACTAGGGCAAAGGCGCCCTCTAGTGGTAGAATCAACACCAACAGCCAAGTGTCCTGGGGCTCTTTGTGTGCTAGACACTGACGGCCCGCACTGAATTCTGGAGGAAATCGAGGCACAGAGAAATTGGGACACTTGCCCAGGCCCACCTACCTAGTAAGTGGAAGAGCCGTGGCCTGAATCGCGACAGTCTGACCCCATAACCTACCCTCGTTCTCCCTCTTTTTCCAAAACTCTGTTCCAGCCCCGCAGTCCCAGTTCTGGAACGCTTGAGCACGGCACGTCTTTGATGTCTAGGACTGTGCTGGGCCCTGCAAGGCGGCTTGGCATCCCCAGCCCGTCCACCAAATGCCAGCGGCACCAAGACAAAGGACAGTTCCCTGTGCTCGAATGTTCTCCTGATCCCAGGAGCAGGCACTGGAGCTTCAGCTGCTTCCTGTTAAACTCAGGAGAGCCGGATTGGGGTACTCTGGGTTCTCAATGACCCCGGGGCCGAACTTGAGCTCCAGGAAGCGGCGGTAGTTGTTAGGCGCCTGCGCCACGAAGCCGGCAAAGGGCAGGGGGACGAGAGGCTGCAGGAAGTGTTCGGGGAACTCGACATCCTGCCGGTGGTCCAGCCACGTGTCCTTGGTCATGACCCCGTTTCGGGGGTAGAAGGGCCACAGGTCCACGTGCAAGTGGTTGCTCTCGCTGTACTGCACGCGGAAGAAGTCGCCCTCTACCGCCTTCTCCCACACGAAGCCACGCTCGTCCACCACGGAGCCCGCCTCGGCGCCCCGCAGCTGCTCGCAGTTGCCCACGTCCTCCAGGTAGATGCCCAGGTCCACGTCGTAGTCCCACGGGATGATGTCCCCGTGGCGAGCCGCCCCCAGCAGCGAGCCGCCCTCCAGCCAGTAGCGCACGCCGGCGGCCTCCAGCACGCCCACCACGTAGCGG